TCCTAGCATGAGAAATAGAGTGTTTCTCAGGGAATACAGAACTTGTCTCCTAAAAGCTGTGAAATACCCTTGGGTCAGTTCAGTGAAGCAGCATTTTGAGAAGGATGTCAGCAAGAGCCGGGAGGAGCCCTAGAGGAAATTCGTTTGGTCACCAGGAACAACACTGTCTTCCAGACAAGATTTGATGAAACACTTGTTCATTTTCATTTTTGTCACTGTGTTTCTAACTCGGTAATGAAATACCTTATCGCCATCAGCTGTTGTGCCATTGACGTGAGTCATTCCATCCCATGTCAGTAAGACCAGGCCAGCTCTGTGGTGGCTTGGCAGGCATTCAGTGGTGCACCTTTGGCAAGGAGCAGGCAGTGGGAAGATGCCCTTGACTCCAAGAATATCTGTACCTGCTAGAGGATCTGCCCTTGACACTGATAAAGCATGGTCATACCCTGTCCTGAGTTCTAAATACTTCAAAAACTTAAAATGCTTCTGGTCTTTGGTTTCATGGAACTGATCATGGCAGTAAGGCCATCTTTAGTGGAGTGTTAATGTTTGAGGAACCTTCATCTCCAACAGATTTCTGTTTCATGGAAACAAATTAATTCCTGTATTCTATGCAGTCATGACAGTCTATAACACACTATTTATTTGCCCAAATCAGCCTTTGGTAAGAAGCTTTGCTTCCTCACTCTCCACTTTCTCTTGCTGTGTTTGGCAGTGGACACTAGGGCCACCTTCCCTCAGTAAAGGTATTGCAGTTTTCCACAGGGACAGGTATACACAACCAAGAGCTCATTTCCCTGCTTGCAGCGGGTGTGGAAGGTTGTAACTTTTTCCAATGGCAAGGAAAAGGAAGCAAGCTCACAGGCAGAAATCCATCAGTAAAGCTGCACAAGTATATTAAGTAAAGCAGAACTTTGCTGTTAAACTTCAAGTAAATAGTTTCTCCGTCTCAATTTGCTCCAGCATAAAAATCCCTCTGCCCTATAAATGCCATTGCCAGTATTCATTTGTGAAGATCTGGGATCTATTTATTTATTTATCCATATTTAGTTTAAAAGTCTGGGCTGAAATTAAACAGTCATTCATAATGTCATTATCTGCCTCGCTGCACAGTCAGATACTGTGTGTGGTGTCACAGGACAAAACCTTTGGCAAGGCCCCTAGAAGAGCAATTTAGCTCCTCATCCATCTCAGCTGGCAGCGTGATTGGCTTCCAAGCTTGCATTGCTGAATGTGTTATTTTACTCTGACATATATTATTAAGTGTTAAATCACTTTCTGAAGTGTTTATTGGTAATAGTTGAATTCTTTCCACTCATTTAAGTTGCTTTTGAAACATAAACATTTCCTTGTATCTTTGAGTTTGATGGAAACACGGGGAGAATTCCTTGGGAGGACGGATTGTAGAAATGACCAGTTCATTAGGTAGGGACAGAATTTAGCAGTGCTGTGGAGGAGAATATCTTCCTCCTTCCATCAGGATGAAACAGCAAACTCCCACCATCACGCCATGTCACTTCACATGGGGAAGGTTTATTTGTGTCTTGGTTCTCCCATCATGTCTTGGCCTGTCAAGAAGCAGATGACCCTTTTACTGGAATATCAATGACTTCCTGACAGGATCTTCATAGATCCTGAAGCTCCTTGAAAAGAGAAACGGGCTGTCATCCACAGAATCAGGTGCTGAGGAGGTTTTTAGGCATCAGCATGCCCATGACCCCAAGTGTGGAGTGTGGTCCATGGCCCTTGCCTAGCAGTGATGTCTCTCAGAAAGGAACCAGAGACCACTTTCTTGTACCTATTTGCAAAAATGAAGCAGGGCATCAGAGAACAGAAATAAAGAGAGTTTAAAATCTAGTGTGGCAGTCGGAAGCTGAGCTGGATCCAGAGCAAGGGCCAAAGGCAGGTCAAGCTGGGGAGGAGGCAGGAGAGCCAGATTTTCAGATAAGCCCTTTGACAATTCATCTCTTGAGGACTCCAGATGTGAAAAGCCAGCAGCTCAATCCAGGCTGGCATACTCAGTACTGCTAGTCCTCTCACCTCTTATCCTTGCTCTAGTGAAGACCTACAAATCAAAATTTTCCTTTTCTTTATATGTTTAATGTGGAGGTCTGTTGAGTCTCTTTCCTGCATCTAGGAGTTACTTTCCAATCTGATGAACACTGACTTTTAGAGACGACACCAATGACGAGCTGCTGAGATCACAGTAGCAATCAAGGCTCCTTTGATGGCAGAGCTAAAAATAAGCTCCCCAGCTGACACAGCCTTAGGGAGGAGAACATATAGTTTGATTTGAAAGAGTACATCTTCCTTTATCTCCATGTCATCTTCTGCCAGAGGACACCACATCTGTGACAACCATGCAAGCAGGTTACTTCTGTCTTCTGAACTGAAGCACCCGTGTAAGGACCCATACTACCTCCAACCTCTGAAAGAGTAAAGCTTTAAAACCCTCTGATCACCTTGGAGAATGGTGGTGTTGGCAGTTTTGCCTCTCTGGTCATGCTAGCAACTGTCAAGTTATTGCATGGCAGAAGCCACATCTTAGGGTCTGGAGGAGATCACCTTTGCCAGTCCTTTAGGTTCAGTTTCAGTCCTCTTGATCAGCTGCCCCAGCTCTTTCCTTTCCTAGATGCTTCTCTGCCTGCTCTCCTCCTTGTTAAATCCAGGGCACTGGCTCACAAACTCCCTGGCTAATGAGGTGTCCCCAAAGCCTTGCTTTGGCACTTGTAAAGGAAACTGCTAAGTCTTGTCACTGCCACCTCCTGGGCTTTCTGGGGACGAGAGTTCAACCCATGGGTTGCAAATGCAGATTCATGCAAACGCTATGCAAGAGATGATGGATTGCCCAGCTTCTACCTGCACCAGCCTGCTCCCTTCCCAGGCCTGAGGAGTGATGGCACTAACCAGCCCGTCTCTGCAGAGGAGTGTAGGTCTCCCTCCTCTTGGAGGCATTAGCTAAGGATGGATCATTAAGGCTTTTGGGTAGGAAACGTACAGATGAACAAGTGTGCACAAAAAGAGTTCCACATTTGTAACGTGTAATGTATCAGGGGATAAAAAGTTGAGCAACCCACTTTGGCACATGGAAATAGCGAAAAGGAAGTGTTTTGCTGGCTAAATGAAAGCCTCCTCTGTGCATGATTTTTCATGCTTCTACATGTATAACTTGAACACAGAGAAAGGAAAAAATTCATTTGTTTGGTCAGACAGAAATACACCTGATTTATTGTTTTGAGAGATACAGGGCGGGTATTTCTACATGGCTGTGGTAGCTATAACGTTTTAGCAACACAATGTTCCACCAAAAAAAGGCATTCACCCAACAATGTCTCTGGGCTCAGTCAGCCTCAGTCCTGGAGGCGGATGTCCCATCCCTAAACCTCCGTGGGCAGTGGTCCATTGCCAGCAGTCTGTTTGATGCTCCCATTTAGGGTGTTGGCCCTGAAGATATATGATCTCCCTCTAACTGAGCCTTCAGTGTGGATGCTTTCTGGCTTGTTCTGGCAACGGAAGAACATAAGGAAGCCGTTCCGGTAGTTCTTGTTCATCCATCCATAGAGCAAGGGGTTGACAAATGTAGAGCACATGGCTCCAACATGGAAGACAGTGTACAGGAGTTTGTACTCATGGAAGATAAGAACCAGATCAAGATCAATGGCAAGCTGGAATATGTGGAAGGGGAGCCAACAGACTGCAAATACCACAACTACCATCACTAGCATTTTGGTTGTCTTTCTCCTCCGGCACTGGTTTTCATTTCTGGAAGTGGGACTGATATGGTTTTTCAGCTTGAACCAGATCCTGGTATAGGCATAACAAATAATTGTGAGAGGAAAAACATACTGCAGGAGGAGCATGGACAGACTGTAGATAGTGGCATCTCGGTTATTACCAGAAGGCCATTTCTCTGAGCAGACAGCCATTTTGAGGTTGATGGATGGGATTTCCTCATATCGGTACTCTCTGAAGATGGCCAGAGGACCTGCTAGGACAGCTGCTGCTAGCCACATGACAGCTATGATGGTGAAGCTGAGCCTCTTGGAAATCCTGCTGTCCAGGTGGAAAACAATACACCGGTACCTATCCAGGGCAATCACAGTTAGGGTGAGAGTGGACACATGGACACTCAGAGCTTGAGCATAAGGGACCAGATGACAAAGAACAGCTCCGAACTTCCACTCATCCAGCAGTGTGTACACCAGGGTGAAAGGCAGACAGAGTGTGTCCACCATCAGATCTGCCAGGGCCAGGTTAGCGATGAAGAAGTTGGTGACAGTCCTCATGGTCTTGTACTTCACTATGATGTAGATGACCAAGGAGTTGCCAATGAACCCCAGCAGAATGATGAGGGAGTAGGCAGCAATCAGAACAACCTGGACCTCCAGGATCTTGGTGCTGTCCATCATAACACTGCGGGACCCAGAGAGGTCCTGGCTAGGAGTAACAAATTCCTTGCCATGCCAGCCCTGTGGCAGCTTCTCATTTAATGCTGTCTTCTCCACAGTGAGGGTGCTGTTGGCTCCCTCCAACGGTCCCATGCCTGGCCTGAGACTTTCCGTCAGGAAGAGCAGGAGGTCTGTAACACAGACACAGCAGAAGCGAGATCACAGGAGACAGCAGAGCATCTACAAGAACTGAGACTCAAAGGACATGTTCCACATAGCATTTCAGCAGCAGCAGCAGTGACATTCTCCTTTCTTCTCCCTTACCCTCCATCCTTCCTCACACTGAGTGGCCTCTCAGCTCTCTTATATCTCCTGTTAGAGCTTCTGATCATGAATGCCAGTTCCCCATGGAAAGGTCAGGGGAAAATGCAACTTTTCACACAAGTTTCTGAGATCCTGTTTATTTGAATTGGACTAGGGAAAACCCCACAACTAGCCAGGGCCAGACGGTAGGTTCTAAAAAGACCTGTTGTTCATGGAGCCCCTTTGCACACTGCCTCTCCTGCTTCTTCAGTCTGGGCTTTGCAAAACAGGGAGGTCACTTCAAACAAGCCAAAAAATTTGGGACCTCTTGGGGCTGACAGAAGAAATCAATGATGGTGTTAGTCATCTTTGATGAGATTTACTTACCTACAAAAATGCCCTGAGTCGTAGCTCCTTAAGAACTAGGAAAGGAGAAAAAAAACAGGACACTCTCAAATTCAAGGTGCTCTTCTTTACCTCCCCATTATAATTTATTTCCAGATTGCACACCCAGGTTTTTTCAGTTTCTTATTTCTCACCTCTCTGGGTGACAATATCTGCCCATAAAATCAAGCAGTTACAAGTCCTAAGTGGGAACTGCCGCACAGAGACATCCACGACCCGCCATGGCCAGGGGCACCCCCACTGTCCTCTGCCTCCTCCAAGGATGCAGTGAGTGACTCATCTTCTTTTATATGATTATTTTTGAGTCTAGATTATGATTGTTATATTGATACAGCAAACCGTGTATTAAGATTTGGCAGCATCTGCAGAGGGTCCAGATGATTAGAAACTGTAAGTTAGGTTGTGTTATAAATTCTATATTACTTAAGAGATTAGAAATCACTAAGTTAAGTTAAATTAAGATCTAGGTGATTAGAAATAATAAGTTGTGTTATAAATTCTGTATTACGCTGTTTATAGATTGTACTACAGTGATTCTGCTTGTAGTAATCCTGTGCCATTCTAATCATAAATTCTACACTATATTAGTCATAATATCCCGTTAAGAAAATAATGCATTAATTGTAACTACGATTTAGTGCCGTCATCATTCTGCCAAGGATCCCTAAAAGAACCTGCCTGTCCCCTCAGTGTCGGTGACACCCAGGCATCCTCCGGCTTTGCAGAGGAGGGAGCTCCTGCAGGGATGAGCCTGTGCAGGGGGCAAACAACTGAAGTTGTGAACAAGCCTCCTGCAGAGCTGTTGCTGAGCGTTCAGGCACAAACAGGTCGGAGAGCCAAAGCCCCGGCGTCAGCGAAGCCTGCTGCCACGTGGTGCTCAAACGTCTGCATGAACGTGGCTTTGGGAGCAGGGAGTCCGACCGATGAGCCAGAACTGACTCAGTCTGGAACCTGCAGCTGGCGTTTGGTGCCGTTGTAACAGCAGAGTGTTGTCACGGCAGGGTTTTCATTCAGTCCAAACACAGCAGGAGAAAAGCCAACTCTGTTACTGGCTCCTTCTCAGCCTCTGTGTCTCAGAATTGCTGCTGGGGTATGTGGAGAGGGGCGGACGTGGCCCCTCACATATCCCCTCTCCCCAGCACTGTGTGTTGGGCCCCCCATTCCCACCGCACACTTGATCAAAAGTAAGCAAAAGTCATCACTCTGCCCAAACAGGGTGGTCAAGAAGAGCATCGTGTTTTGTCCGACCTGCAGAGATGGGGGGATAATGCCCTGCCACCGAGGGAGGGAGGCAGAGGGCTTAAATGAAGCTGGGAATTAGAGGCAGACTGCTGGGTACCTTCTCGACCTCCTTGAGGAACAACTTGGTATGGGTTTGTACCTGGTGAGATGGGAGCACTGCTGGCTGGGTGCTGGTGGGCTTCCTGCAAATCCCATGACCTGCAAGCCAAATGTTTAAGGACAGCCTGTCCTTGGGAAGGGAGAATGCTTTCTGTGCAGAACACCTGCATTTCAGCTAGTTCCTTAAACAGACAGCACAAAATAATGGTGGCAAAATGGTAAAGGTGGCAGCAATTATATTGCAATGAATAATCAATGGCTGCTTGTTCTTTCATCGCTCCTCAGAGCAAGGGTTGTGACTCCCCCTTGGGAGCTGCTCATAGGAACCTGCCCACCTGGCTGCAAACTCAGGACCCTGCAGAGGCCCAGCAAAAGAGCTGCCTTTGGTAGACCACCCCTGCTTGCATCTTTGCTTTCTTCTGCCCTCTCCATGTCCATTGGCTTGCCTTACTTTTTGCTAACTCTGCTGGCCAATTTCTGCTAGTGATTCCTATGAATGAAGTTGGACTCAGATACCATGATAATGGAGACCGTGTAGGTATCGCTAAGAGGGTAGGGAGGTGGCTTTAAGCAGCAGGAAGGAAAAATGGGTGGATTTGCTGGGGTGAGGGTTTGCTTAAGGGTGATCTCAGACCTCCACGACACCGCAGCCCCCAGCCCTGGAAAGGTAACCCCAAAGACCATGGGAGGTCCCAACTTCTAAGGCAGGAAAGAGGAGCTCAAACCCGCCCCATGCAGCTGACGCAGTGGGAAACAGAGCAGGGGAAGAGGCAGGGCCCCGGCAGGGTGGCACAACCACAGCCTCTTCAACAGAGCCCGACCCACAAGCAGCAGCTGCCCAGCCCGGAGCCTCTCCTCAGCCACCCGTGCCGCAGCTGGCCCCAAAACAAACCTTACTGCCAGAAGAGCAAAGTCCATGAAGGAAACAGAGCAAGTGCTGGGCATGTTTTCAGTGGCTGTGCTTTCCCTGCTTGCCCTCCGTCTGGGTCGTTTATACCTTCCAAATTGTCTATCATTTCTTTATCACTATCACTTGTTATCTCCTTTTCTGTGGCTTGCCTGTCCCATTTATCTTCGGTACCCAAGTCTTGGCATGACACCAGTGGACGCTCCCTTCTCTTTTTTGCCGTCTCACCCACCAACTGGCTGCCAGTGCCTGCGTTCACATCTCAGGCTATTTCCTTTCACTGGAGACTGGCAGCTACCCACCATCTGAGAGGAGCCAGGAACATCATGATTATTGGACCTGTTTCACTTCCTAACAAAATGGCCTTAATGGAGTTATTATTTTATTTGGTTTGCTTTGTTTTTTTCCAAAGGAGAACTATTAAAAATCAATTAAGGCATTTTAATTAAGAGATGAAATGGTCATAATAAATGTTCCCACTCCAGAGGCTGCCGGGAGGTTGCAGGGATGCTGCTAGGAGTGAACCAAAGTCCATTCCAGCAAGTAATGGAAGTGCTGGCATATGTGTAGGCTGCTGCCAGGCGCACACTCCCGTGCCCAGCAAGTCTGCCAGGCTAGATGGAAAAATCCTTGGAGCTGAGAACCAACTGCTTTTGGGAGAACAAAACAGTAGGGCAGACCAGGAGGAGGCAGAAATACCACCCTAAGCCCTTTCCTCTGCGCTGGGCTGCCATGAAGGGATCCAGAAAGAAGGCATCGCTTGGATGCTGCCCTCAACCTCTCCTCCAGCTGAGGTTCAGCCTGAGGCAGGGCTGGGAACCAGGGATGGCTCCCAACAAGGCAGGGAGAGCTGTGCACTGTGCCAGCAAGCTTCAGCCTTTGGGAAAGGGGGAAGAGGAGGGGGAAGCACAGAAGAGCTGTGAAACCTCAGCCTTTCGCTGAGCACACCGCTGTCGGGGACTGTGAGGGACAATGACCACCATGACAGCTCCAAAATTCATTCCTAGAGAGGGCCTGGCTTAGGTGCCCTTGGACTCACATGCTCCTCTGCTTCCTGGGGACACCCGGCTCCCTGCATGTCGCTGCCACAGCCCCAGACACGAAGCCAGCCTGGTCCAGACCTGTCAGGGCACATCCAGGCCTGGAAGAGTCATCTGCAAAGCCTGGCAGGGTTCAGAAAGCAGGGCTGGAAGGGTGGGCAGAGGGCAGAGGGCAGTTTGTTAATTATAATTCCTCTTTCTGTCCCAAGCTGTGAGACTGGGGTGGCTGAAGGCAGCGGGCACGCAGTGTGGGGGACAAGGGGTGCAGAAAAGAGAGAGGTAAAGGCAAGGATTGCTCAGAGCATGACCAAGAATTACAATCCTATCACAATTATCGTTAACTTCAAAGGAGGGAGTGGAGGGACTTGGGCCAGCCTCTGCTCTCTGCTCCGAATCTGGCTAACCACAGCCACAGTCTCTACCGCAGTGCCGGGGCGTGAGGGCTGAGGCTGATGTATATTTTCACGGCTTGGCTCACTGATTTATTCCATGCTGTGTGCTTCCTCCAAAGCAGCTCAACTCCATGAAACTCCTTCATCTCCAGCAGTCCGATCTGAAGCACTGACTCATCTCATCCCCAGTCTCAAATCTGGCAGCAGTCAGGTGCCCATGGCAAGGAGGTCTGAGACCATCCCTGATCACCAGAACCTGGTTGCCACCCTGGGTCAAGCCACCTTCTACCACCTCCGTGTTCCCCTACAGCACTGGGGAGGCAGCAGTGTTCACCCCACAACACAGCACTTAAAGGAGGAAAACACAATAAACTGAGACACGGAGGTTAAACCAGCTTGGCAGAGGCCACACAGCACGTCCACGGCAGGGCTGGGAACAGAGCCCAAGGCTGCAAACTCCAGCTGCCTGCATTCACCACCAGAGAGGACTCCGCATCTCTCAGGATAACACCTGAACATAGATTTCAGGAGCAGCATGAAAATGCAAAATGTGAGTGATGAAGGGAAGGATGTTTTGCCTTCTCTGTTTGATGGGCTGATTTCAGGGCAAACAGCAGCTCTGGGATGGTTTCCTGAAGCCAAAGAGCAGATAGAAATTGTCCCAGGTCCTTCCATCCCCAGTGAAGGGGTGATTGCCTCTGAGAAGGGAAGACCCTCTGACCTGCCCATCATCTGCTGCAGCTTTGTAAATTATCTATCCAGATC